GCTCCCGCGGGTCAGCGGCAGGAGCCGCCGGGGTCCGAGGGCGCCTCGCGGCGGTGGCTCCCGCGAGGGGCGGAGAAGGGTCCTGCCCTATCCCTGGGAGCTCTTAGTCTGGGATCGGGGCGGCTCCCGCGGCTCCCTTCCCCGGCGCTGTCAGTCTGGAGAAAGGCTGGAGCGCCCGGCCCTGCCCGCAGATCTCCCACGCTGGGGGAATACCCACCCAGGCCCTGCCCTTGGGGTTCCCAGCCTGAGGAGTGCTCGGGCCGCCCTTAGAAGCCCCATCTAAGAGGGGTGAAACGCTTAGCACATGACCTTAAGAAAGGCGCGCTGCACGGCCTGCTGTAAAGTCCAACGTTTTAGGCAGTGAGGGGTCTGGGGCCCAGGTTCGGTGCTTTGGAGAAGGCTACACCACCCTCAGGGCAGGGGCCGGCCAGGGCCTCCCCCGCAGTGGTGCAGGGTTGGGCAAGGGGGACACAGTCTAGGGCAGGACATGCTAGGAGAGGAGCTGGGGAGGAAGAGGGGAGCCTCAGAGCTGTTCCACGGACATGCTGGGAGAGGGAATCAGGGTTGAGCTTGTTTTTAGATGAGGTTGGCTGCTGCAAGAACCTCCGAAGGAACAAACTGCTGACATCCATGTTCCACCCCTTGCAGGGGCCAGCCAGAGACGAGCTGAGGGAGGGGTCTGTAGGCCCAGGCACAGCCTCCTCTGCTTCTGTCGGGTCCTGGATACACAGTCTGAGAAACCCTCCTTTTTGCCCCTGCTGTCTTGAGTGGGTTTTAGTCATTTACACTGAAAAAGTTCTTCACCACCACATTAGCACCCCACTCAGCTTGTGCATGAGCAGGCAGTGCCCTCGGCAAGTCCTCAGGCCTGACACCTGAGCCAGGACTGGCTCTCCCCCAGAGGGTATGGGGACCCTGAACCCCACTCTCCCCTACCCTCATGCCCTTCTTGCAAGGAACTCATTCCTTGCAGCCCTTTCAGAGGCACCTTAGGGTCAAGGGTAATTTTGGGGTTACTTCTAGACCATGATACCCCCATCAAGTTCCTTGCTATTGAGTTTCTTGCTCACCACACTGTCCGTGTCACCCTCAGAGGTGCTCACTCCTGCCTGCTTCCTCCCCTTCCCAGGGACTGAGCCTCCTCTCCGCCCAGCAGGGAGCGACTCTCTCCAGTCCTGTTCCCATCCTTTTACCTCCACCCAGCTTGGCTCCAATGTCAAAGCCATGGAGGGGAGGCCTAGTGTCATCACCACACCCCAAGCCTCTCCCTTCATGCTCACCTCCCCCTCCACAGCTACCACAGAGGCTCTACCCTCCTGCCCCCCTCCCCATAGCTGTTTTCTCTCAGTGTCCCAACTTCAACCCCTCCCTCTCTTGGATCCGTGCCATCAGGATGAAATTCAGTCTCTCCCACCTTAAAACACTCAAGCAAAACCTCCTGAGATGCTATCTGCCCAGCCAAGTGCCACCCTAGCTTTTCTTGCCCCGGAATTTCTCTTAAGCATTCCTCCAACGTCACCACCACCACCTGGCTTCCGTGGCCCAGTCCGCGTGCAGCAGGGGAAACTCTGGTTTACTTCTAGCGTGTTTCCATGGGTGAGTGGTACCCTGGGAGCCAGCCCATCGCCCCCCAGAAGCAGCCCCTCCACTGAGGATAAATGAAGGAAGTCCTTGGATTTCCCTTCGGAGGGCACGTGGACAGTGACAGACAACAACTGTCATGAGCTGTGCAGTGCAGGGGGCTGTGGGGTCACAGAGGGGTCCCTGATCCAAGCAGGAGGGATAGGGGTAAAATAAGCTACCAAGCTGAGGCCTGAGGACATCCTGTCTGTGGGCTGTTGGGGAGATGGGACCCCAGGCCCACGGCAGCAGCAAGCGTTTTGAGGCTTACCTCCACCTGTTGTAGAGACAGGCAATTTTGATTTATTTTTTGTTTACTAGAGGGGTGAGTAACATGATCACATGTGTTTTGGAAAGATGGTACTGGCAGAACTGTGGATGGCAGATTGAAGGACGATGGGATGCTGGTGGGAGAAGCAGCAGCTGCAGAACTTGGTAGGCCCCTGTGATCCTTTGCGTGCCCCCCACCCGATTTGTGGCTTCGGAGCTGGAGTGCTGGGTCCCATCCCCTCTCTGTGTGTGATGCTTACCACCTCCTCCCCTCCTTGCCTCCCAGAGCCTTGCCATCTCTGAAACTCCCAAAACCGTGTTCCAGGTCTGCCTTCTCTTCAGCTGCAGGCCCAGGACACTGGAGGCCAGCCAGACACCTCTGCCAGGATGTCCCCCAGGCAGCTCCCTGCATCAGTGAACAGAAGGGTTGACGCTCCCCATCTGCCCCTCTGCTGTGCTGTTTCTCTGACCCATCCACTCTGTCCCGCCCCCTGCCCCCACACCCTTCCTGCCAGCCCTCCAGCACCCACCTCCCCTGCTGAACTTCACTTCTCTAATGTAAATGTGATCACATCACCCACTCTTGTCCCTGGTGAAAATAAACAAATAGAAACTCAAGTACCTGCTGATGCTTCCCTGCCTTTTTCAAGATGTAAGTCAAGCTCTTTAATATGGCCTGTGTTCAACACTTGTGGGTTTATTCATCCAGCAAATGTCTATTGAGGTTCTGTGACCTGTGCGGCAGGAGGGACGGAGACTGACCAGGTCATTGATGATGACCCGACAGAGGGAACAAGCCTGGGGTAGGGTAAGGCAGAAGAGGAAACACAAATGGACCTAGAGATGCTCAGATGATCACAGAAGTGTCTGTAAGGGGGTGATGAGATAATTGTTCCCGCTGACACTGAGTCCACAATCAGTTGACAGTTCATCAGCTTTGTGGGGAGCAGTTTGCTCCAACTGGTAACACAAACACAGGCTCACCTTCGGCCAGAATTTCCGCTTCTGGGAAAGCATCCTATACAGACTCATCTATGAGCTTACACTGACGGGTTCTTGCTCTTGGAAAGCCTGGAAATCATCTGCTTGCTCACTAATAAAGATCAGCTAATTAAGTCACAGGACACCTACATGTTGGTGTAGGGCCAGCCATAAGAATGGCGGTCTCTTAAGTTCACACATGTTTTTACTGATACACGCATATATGTGAGTACCAAATATACACGGAACGGAGGACGCCCTCTCAACCACACACACTAGTGCACCCAAGAGAAACGGGGCGCCAGCCTGGACTTGAGAGAGGAATTCACAGTGGGGGGCTGTGAGGGGTTCTCAGTTCTTATTTAAATTTCTTGTAAAAACCACTTAATACTTCAGTAATGGGGAGAAAAGGCAGAATTTTTATGAATACATCTGCTAGGGGGAGAGGTCTCAAAATGGCCTCTGGCCAGCCACGCCCCCACCCCCCAGTCTAGGCAGGCACTGAGGGGTGAGACGCTCAGGGACTAGCTGGTGCAGAGGTGGTGGGTGTGGTTGACCCCACCCCCAGCACTCACTACTTCAGCCTGGAAGTTTTGGCCCCTCCAGGCTCCGGGACAGTGTTCCCCACCAGAAGGAGCAGAGGCAAGGCTGGCATCTCAGGGCCTCCGGCCTGCCGCCCAGCGGGGAAGGGCCCCTCCGCCCACGCTCCCTTCCCTGCACGCACAGAGCTGGCAGCAGGGCCGTAGCCCACCCCGCGGCCCGCCCTCTGAGTCGGGGTCCGGGTAGGGCGCCCCGCCAGCCGGCGCGTCTAGCTCCGCCTCCCTGGAAGACTATTTAGCCCCGGAGGTGCCCGGGTT